GGGGGGGGGGGGGGGGGGGGGGGGGGGGGGGGTGGCTGGGTGATGAACACTGGGGAGGGTATGTGCTATGGTGAGCGCTGTGAATTGTGTAAGACTGATGAATCACATATAATTAACATTATATGTTAATAAAAAAAAACCCAGAAGTGATCAATATAAGCTACCTTGAAAATGGAAATGAAACTGCTCATATATATAATAATTTCTATGAGGCAAAAAGAAAAGAATGCTGATTTTTTCCCTAAAATGCAATTCTTTGAGAAGAACGAGCTGATTTAAAAACAAAACTGAATCATACTTTGAGTCAACAGAATTTTCCCCCTTAATTACAAAAGAGAATTTAAGATGTCTGAAAATAGAGCAAACTCTTAACAAAATTGTTAAAAAATAGTAATTTATATTAGGCAAGACAGCAAACAATGTACACATCTAACAGTAGAGGAAATTAAATGCATTATAGTACAGTCAAGTTATACAGTGAAATATTGTGAGGCCATTAAAATTCATGTTTTTAAAAATATGACATGAGAAAATAATTATAAATTATTACTTAAAATTTTAAAACAGGATACAAAAAACTATCTGCAGAATAATTTAATTTCATAGAAAACATAAATAAAGCTATATATAAAGCCTAAAATAAAATGTACCAAAATGGTAACAATGGTTCTCTCTGGGCAGGGAGATTATGTATACTGTTTGTCTTCCCTAGTTTTCTTGTTTTCCCCATTTCTGTAGATGAACTTATAGTGCTGATCTATTCAGTAATAGGGTTATTTAAACACAGTGGTTCTCAAACTTTTTGATCTTTGGTCTCCTTTACACTCTTAAAAATTATTGAGGAACCCAAAGTTTTTATTTATGTGACATATACTTAACTATACTTACATACTAGAAGTTAAAATAGGAAAAATTTTAAATAATCATTAATTTAAAAATAACAGTAAAAGAACACTTATCATGATGAGCACTGAATAATATACAGAATTACTGAATCACTACATTATAGATCTGAAACTAATATAACTGTATATTAACTATACTGGAATTAACATAAAAAACTTAAAGTTAAATAAATAAAAATAACAGTAATAATCCAGTAACGTGAATATATTTTTATGAAAATTTATTATATTTTACAAAATGAAAAAAAAATCAGTGAAAAGAATGGCACTATTTCCCATTTTTAAAAAATGTATGGCTTCATAGAAGACAGCTGCCATCTCCTATCTGCTACTGCATTCAATCTTTTGCCATACTTTGTTTTATTTGAAGTATATAACAAAAATCTGGCCTCACACAGATACACAGTTGGAAAAGGAAGGAGTATTTTAGTAGCCTTTTTGGATAACTATAGTATCACACCAAAGCAAATATCACACCAAAACTCTAAAAGGAATAACTTCTTTAAAGGTTACTGGAAATGTAAAAATTGAAACAACACCAATGAACTTTCTGTATTCTGTCACACTATGACCCATTGGTCTACCCTGTACTTTGAATGAATCTTTCACCTGCGTGTGATTGTGACACTGTGCATTTGTCTTTTAGAAAATACTGATTCACTGAGTTATGCAAATCTTCCTTATACTGATAACACTGTTAAACATCAAAAAGATCACCTTTGTAAATATTACCACTGATCTCACTGGAAAACTTTAAGTACTGGGAAGCCATCAAAGTCAAGGTGGTAAAAACAAGTTTTCCTGCACTGATTTTCACATGAAAGCTTGAATTTTTTCATTGGCAACAAATACCACCAGCTGTTTTCCTTGAAGTGACTGGCTTATTACTTCACTGATTTTCAAGAAAATGTCTGCCATATACACCAAGTGTGAATATTATTTTGTCTGTCAATTATTCTTTCAAGTTAAAAGAAAAAGTGAGCTAATTTTCTTACAATGTTTACAACTCAAACAAGTTACACAAGTGCTCTCAAGACAATGACCACACTTCAGTATGCACAGAAGTACTTAGACATACTTCCTCCATCATCACACAGCATATCAAAAAGATATACATTCAAGAGTAGAAATTTAATAAAACAAGAACTTTTCTGCTTCATCACATGCATTCAGTGAAGCTAGCTTTTTTTCCTTCCTTTCCTTTCTTAACTGCTAAGTGAAAGTGAAAAATACAGCAACTACTAGTACTATCTGGTGCCACTGCCCTGATTCCTACTAAGGCTTCAGCATTTTACTTACCATTTTCTTTAGCACTCTATGTGCAAATGTCAGTACTAAGAAACAGGCAAATAATGTGTTAGTATTATTATGAAAATAGTTTTGACCGCAAAGACCGTCTGGAAAATGTCTCAAGGACTCCCAAGGGGTCCACAGACCATACTTTGAGAACCACGGTTTCAAAAGAACTGAAAGGATAACGTCTTTTAAAGTATAATAGTCCTATAAAGTCTAATTTCAATAAAGTCTACAAATTCTTCCTTCATGCTCTGCTATAAATTTTCTTTTTAAATAATATTAATAGAGAATCAACTCAATCTGAATCAATCTTTCTCACGAAATGAAGCTTATCTAGAATGTTTAAAAATAACATTTATGCGGCTAAAGGGGCAATTATTAAAAAATTCAGAATAATTCTAAAACTCTTAAGACAATGAAGACTCACTTTAGAGTGCAAAATTACAAAAGAAAAAAAACCCTACAATTTAATAAAGCCAAAAGTTAGTATACTTACTGGAACAGAGCTTCATTTTGTTCCATTTCTTCTTGAGGTTGCTAGGGGAAAAAAGGTAGTTTTCTTTGAACTGATAAATGCTAATACAATGCAACAATTAAAAATTTAACTTTTAAAATAATTCTTGTGTTATTCTTTCTTAGCACCTCTCTGCTGTGGTAAAATATATGTAACATAAAATTCACCATTTTAACCATTTTTACACATACAGTGCTGTGGCATTTTGTGCACTGTTGTACAACCATCACCAGCATCCATCTAGAGTACTTTTTCATCTTTTCCAACTGTAACTCCACACCTATTAAGCACTAACTCTCCATTCACCCCTCTCCTAATCCCCGGTACCTACCCTGCTCCTTTCTTTCTACTACTCAGTCTCTACTGTGACTACTCTAAGTACCTAATATAAAAGGAACCATACAACATTTGTCCTTTTGTGTCCGAACTTATTTCACTTAGCATGAGGTCTTTAAGGTTCACCCCCATGTTGTACCATATATCACTATTTCCTCCCTTTCTAATTACATTGTATGTAACACATTTTGTTTATCCACTCATCTGTTGGTGGATGCTTGGACTGCTACCACCTTTTGGCTACTGTGAATAATGGTTCAATGAACGTGGATGTACAAATATATTTTTGAGTCCCTGCTTTCACTTATTTTGGGTATAAACCCAGAAGTGGAGTTTCTGGATCATATGATATAATGTTTAATTTTGGAGGAATCAGCATACCATTTTCCATAGCAGTGGCACCATTCTACATTTCCTACCTGCAATGAGAAAGAATTCCAATTTTCCCACATCCTAACACTGGTTATTTTGGGGTTTTTTGATAACAGCTATCATATGAGTATAAGGTGGGATCTCAGGGTGGTTTTGATGTGCATTTCCCTACTGATTAATGATGTTGAACATATTTTCATGTGCTTATTGGCCACTAGTCTATCTTCTTTGGTGAAATGTCTGTTCATGCCCTTTGTCCATTTTTAAATCAGTTTGTTTGGTTTTTTTGTTGCTGAGTTGTAAGAGTCTTTATATATTCTGGGTAGCAATCCCTTATGAGATACATGACTTACTCCCATTCCTTGGGTTGCCTTTTCATCTGTTGATAGTGTCCTTTAATGCACAAAGGTTTTTAATTTTCATGAGTCTAGCTTTATTTATTTTTTCTTTTGTTGCCGGGCTTTCATGTCCAAGAAATCATTGCCAAATCAAATGTCACGATACTTTTTCCCAATGTTTTCTTCAAGGAGTTTTAGTTCTTGTGTTTAGTTTTTTCCTTAATTTCTTTCCATAAAAGAATTTATGGAAATTAAATAAAGAGAAAGGATGTGTCTCCTGTTTTTATTCCTAGTTCATTAATCCATAATGGTTCTGATAAGCCATTCTTGTCAGGTTCTCAGTTCTAATATTTCTCCTGAGGGCCAAAAATCATACAACCTCTGCATTACAATGTTAAGTGCTAAATGACTTTTGCCTAATTCTCAAGTCACGCCAGAAAATCTGAAGTTGTTTCCCTTTCAAAAAAAAGATAAAATGCACTGATAAAATGACTCCATTTTAAGTTTTACAGCATACTGGCTTTCATCACTTTAAAAGGAATCCTTACATTTAATATCCTGTTACCATGAAAGTGGATCTTTAGAAAAAGATCTCTCTTTGAGGGCCTTCTATGTTTCTATGATCAGTAACAAAGCTTTCTGAAAATAAAGCCTTTAGCATGAATTTCCAAGCATTGTTCAATCAATGAAAAGCTATAACAGGAAAACACAATTAAAGTACTGTGAGAACTTCAATCTTCTCCAATGAACATTCACTGTTATTTACTGATAATGCATCTTTACATACTTCAAGGTTATCACATTGGTTCCACATATATATACTTCCCAAGCAGACCTTACAAAGCTCAGAGGCCCAGAGACAAGAAGGAATTTCAAGAAGTAAACCTAGAAACTCCCAAGAATTAATTAAATAGAGTATACTTACATACTTACTAGATATTTCTGCATCTTCACAAAATAATTCATTCAAATACCTGTAATACCCAGTTCATTTCCCTTACTATAGATCAGTGACTTGACCCTACCTACATAAGGAAAATGCAAAAAATAAGAGAAAAAGTAAAAAGGAAGTTTGCTCCTGACAGCCATTTTTTTCTTTCCCCTCCTCCAGAGGCAAAAATAACACTTAAGAGCTAAGGCCTCTGAATATAATGGGGGCTGGAGTTGGTCATTTGTTAATTAACAAAATGCAAGGATACATTTCAATCAACTCTTTCCTAAGGGATCCAAATTGCTATCTATCCTTTTGATTCATGTGTCTGTCATTTTTTTCCTGCCCTTACCACCCCTATATTTTGATGGTCCCCTAAGCTGTACAGGTTTTGTTTTATTTCACCTGTTGGGGGTAGGGTGGAGGAGGTGAAAAAGAGTTTAAATTAATTGTGCTAATTTGGAGGATCTGGAAAAGAGGCAACTCTATTTATACATCCTCAACCAAAAATATCTGAAACCATTCTCTTCAACTGAATCGTGGATCACTGGGAGTGGAGTGGAATAAGTCTAGGCAGTCAAATCAGCCTAAGCAACCCTGGCTTCCCAGGAAGCACCAGGTATCTCACACAAACTATCCTCACATTCAGTATAGCAGAATACTGGTATTAAGTGTTTTATTTATTTATCAGTTACTGATAACATCTGTTTAAAATACCTTTCTCACAAACTGACAGTATACAATAAAACTAGGGGACTTTAACACCCCACTTACATCAATGGATACATCTTCCGGAAAGAAATCAACAAGGAAACAATGGCTTTGAATGACACCAACAGTGGCCTAGAACAGATGGACCTAACAGATATATACAGAATATTCCATCTAAAAACAGAATACATATTCTTCTCAAGTGCACATAAAATATTCCCCAGGATAGATCACATGTTAGGCCACAAAACAACTCTTGATTTAAAAGACTGAAATCATGGGGCACCTGGGTGGCTCAGTTGGCTAAGCATCTGTCTCTTGGTTTCGGCTCAGGTCATGGTCTCAGGATTGTGGGATTGAGCCCTGTGTCAGGCTCCGCACTGAGTGAGAAGCCTGCTTGGGACTTTCTCTGTCCCCCTCCTTCTTCTCCCCCCCCCCACCCCCCCCCCCTAAAAAATAAATAAATAAAAATAAAATAAAAAGCTTTTATGCAGTGAAGGAAACCTTAGAATAATGAAAGGCAACCTACAGAATGGGAGAGGATATTTGTAAATGATGTATTTGATAAGAGGTTAACATCCAGAATAGATAAAGAACTCATACAACTCAACAGCAAAAACAACAACAAAAACCTAAACTAAACAGTACAATTAAAAAGTGGGCAGAGGACCCAAACAGACATTTTTTTTAAAAGACTTTATTTATTTACTTGAGAGAGAATGAGATAGAGAGAGCATGAGAGGGGGTAGGGTCTGAGGGAGAAGCAGACTCCCTGCCGAGCAGGGAGCCTGATGTGGGACTCGATCCCGGGACTCCAGGATCATGACCTGAGCTGGAGGCAGATGCTTAACCAACTGAGCCACCCAGGTGCCCACCAGACAGACATTTTTTTAAAGAAGACAAACAGGTGACCAGAAGACACATGAAAAGATACACATCACTAACCATCACGGAAATGCAAATCACAATCACAACGAGATATCTCTTCATACCTGTCAAAATGGCTGAAACCAAAAAGACAAGAAACAACAAATGTTGGCAAGGATATGGAGAAAAGAGAACTGACATGCACTGTCGGTGGGAATGTAAAATGGCGTAGCCATAATGGAAAACAGTGTGGAGGTTACTCAAAAAATTAAAAATAGAAGTACCATACAATCCAGTAATTCCACCTCTTGGTATTTTTCTGAAGAAAATTAAAATATGAACACACTGGAATGTTACTTTTTAACCTCAGAGGAAAAAAATGTATCTATCATCCCTTCCTTCCTTAAGACTTTGTAGGTATCTCTGGTTAGCTGACTTATTTATGCCACAGGTGTTAACTAAATCACCCCTAATCTCTCCCCAGGGTGACTGCATTAAAAAGAAACAAATAAAAATTTGTGTATGTAAGTGTGTATACATAAATATGCACTCACACACACATAAGATAATAGAAGGGACTTTCAGTAGCCCATATCTCAAATTATACCATGCAGACTAATATCTTCTTCACAAATTTAAAGTGATCTCTGACATACAATGGAAATGAAAATAATAATTATTATATTCTATTTTAACCTTCTGTTTCTCTCACTTCCATATCTCTACCTGAAAGAGAGAAAAGGAAAGAGAGGAAGAAATGAAATATTTTAAACACCCCCTTCTAAAACAACTGCCTTTCACCAAAGTTGCAATGAAGAAACAGAATGACTAGCTAAACTGAGTAAGAGAAGAAAGAAGGAAAATAATAGACAAAAAGAATTAATCATTAGTAATTTACCACTCTTTGAAATAGCACTTCCAATTTTTAATAAGTATGTATTTAATCAATATGCTACATACCTGTAAGACTGCATTCTCACTAAGAGGCATTATCTTATTTTTACTCTTTTGCTCTTGTGGATCCTCTCTGAATTTGAACACAAGCTGAATCTCAGGAGAAGGTGTGCCTAGAATGAAACATAATCATAAATCACTTGCAAGTTTTATTGCTCTGCTCTGACAAGGACTCCATGATTTTACAGAAACTACAAATGTCATTAAAAATTATTTTGTAAATTATAATTTCATAACTACCAATTTTATATATCAATGTTTTTAAGTTATTAATTTCAAAGAAACACATATACTATATTGGAATAAAACAATACTTGATATTTGTTTCAGGTTGAATGAATGCAAAGGATACATAGAGACAATATAAAGACCTAAACCTCCCTACAGGGAATACTTTCTTCTTTTTTAATTCTATGTGAGGTCATTTTTAAAAACTCATAATGCTGGGGCACCTGGATGGCTCAGTTGTTAAGCGTCTGCCTTCGGCTCAGGTCATGATCCCAGGGTCCTGGGATTGAGCCCCGCATTGGGCTCCCTGCTCCGCAGGAAGCCTGCTTCTCCCTCTCCCACTCCCCCCTGCGTGTGTTCCCTCTCTCGCTGTGTCTCTCTCTGTCAAATAAATAAAATATTTAAAAAATAAAAAAATAAAAATAAAAACTCATAATGCTAGTATATAATCCAAAAACAGAGTTGTATTTTTAAGATGGGAAAGTGAGCTCATATTTTAACTTTTCTTCCCTTCCTGGTTCCTAAGAAGAATCCAAAGAAATTAGTTGTTTTTTGAAATTCGTTTTAAAAGAAAATCTGAAGCAGCAATGAGAAAAAAGGAAATATACCCACTACAGGTCAGAAGATGAGAATGGATTAAAGGGAAACCAAACATTGGTAAAGAGTATGTCACTCTACATGGGAAAAGGAGCGGCTCCTTCAGAAATAACTATATGGATTTCTTCCATGAGAATCTCAGAAAACCACCCAGCTCAGAGCAAATCCCACCAACCAAAGATGAAAGAGGGTACACTGGAAGATCTCAAGGGGTAGTCTCCTACTTCACTGAGATTGCTATTTGTTCCAAAGGAGCTCAGAATGAATGCTATAGCCAGTTACTTTGTGTAGGAGGAAATCTTCCCTACCAGATAAAGAAATGTACTAAAAGCTAAGGCTGATAAAATAATGTAGTGATGGTATATTACTAAATATAGTCAAACAGAACAATGAAACAAAACAAGTAGAAAACAGACCTATATATATCTGGGAATTTAATATAAAATAATAATGGTATTTATTTTTTTTAATTTTATTTATTTATTTGACAGAAGGAGACACAGCGAGAGAGGGAACACAAGCAGGGGAGTGGGAGAGGGAGAAGCAGGCTTCCCGCCTAGCAGGGAGCCCGATGCGGGGCTAGATCCCAGGACCCTGGGATCATAACCTGAGCCAAAGGCAGACGCTCAAGGACTGAGCCACCCAGGCACCCCAATAATGGTATTTTAAACAGTGACAAGATGAATAAATATAACAAAGGTAACTAAAGGTAAAAGAAAAACCTTTATGGTCGTGTGGTAGGTAAAATATTTCCAAGTTTGAAAAAACCAAGAAACCCCAGAAGAAAAGACTGACAGGTTTTACTATATAAAAACTTAAGGGCACCTGGGTGGCTTAGTCGGTTAAGCATCTGCCTTCAGCTCAGGTCACGATCTCAGGGTCCGGGGATCGAGCCCCGCATCGGGCTCCCTGCCCAGCAGGGAGTCTGCTTCTCCCTCTCCCTCTGCCCCTTCCCTCATGCCATCACCCCTCCCTCACCCGCTCATGCTCACTCTCTCTCTCTCAAATAAAATCTTAAAAAAAAAAAACCTAGGGATGCCTGGGTGGCTCAGTCAGTTAAGTGTCTGCCTTCAGCTCAGGTCATGATCCCAGGGTCCTGGAATCGAGTCCCACATTGGGCTCCTTGCTCAGCAGGGAGTCTGCGTCTCCCTGTGCCTGCTCGGCCTGCCACTCCCCCCACCTGTGCTCTCTGACAAATAAATACATAAAATCTTTAAAAAATAAAAATAAATAAAAATTTAAAAAACCTTAAAATTTCTGCATACAAAATATATCATGAATAACATCAAAAGTTAACTAGGGAACTGAATGAAACTATTGCAACATATATATGACAAAGTTTTATTATCTTTAATATATAAAATGGTCTTATAAACCAATAATAAAATGAGAATAATTTAGGAGACAAATAAGGCAATTCACATACACAAAAACTATGAATACTCAATATTAAAATATGTCTAACCTTGGTATTCTTCAAAAATGCAAATTAAAATAATCAGATACTTTTTATTTAGTAGTTTGGCAAAGACTGAATATATCCTTTGTTGGAACTAAAGGAAAAAGCCATCTTTTTTAGGGGTAATATGTGTCAAGATCTGACATGTGTCCATCCTTTAAAAACAAATCTAATTTTAGCTAGTTATACTAAGGAAATAATCAGAAAAGCAGGCAAAGGTATAAATATTAGAATATTCACATTTATTACAGTACTGAGAAATACCAAAAATATTATCAATTCATTAAATAAGGGTACATTCATACAGAATAACATGTAGCAATTTAAAAGGTTGAGGAAGATCAGCATAACAAGGAAAGAAATATATTTAACACAATACCAATTATGAAAAAAGATATTCATAATGGCATACAAAAGTCTAGAAAAATATATAAATACTAAATACTGGCAATTGTTGAGAGTGGAATTATAGGGAAGAGTAGGGGGTGGGACCTTACACTTTCTACATTACATAATTTTGTATTTAGAAAATTTTTATTCATTTAATAATTAGCAAAAGTAATAAAAGTCTATCAATTTGGAAAAGGAAAGAAAAAGGAAAGCAAAGAAAAAACCTGGTTGGAATACTAAAACATACCTCTTACTTCTTCCTAGTGGTACTTTATATAACATAAGAGCACATTCTGGAAACTACTATTACACATTGCCTCTTCCAACTACATGTAGGAAAAATCCCTCCAAGATGAAACTGCAACTTGCCTTTGGAGTACTAAGTAAGATGATGTACAGTGAAAAGACTCTGTGAGCTTATATATATAACAGATCTTTGTGGTGTTTAGGAAATTTTTCTTTTTTTTCATACTTATTTCCAGACATCCTTGAAAATAAAAAATGGTTCACAAGAAGAAAGCATAAAAGGAAATAACGTACCCCTTAAACAGCTACTGCAAAATTTATCTTTTCAAACAGTGATGATCAGTGATACATTTTTCTAGAAGCATTTAAAAACTGACCTAGAAGTGGACTCAGGAAGTAGAGAAAATTGGTAGGTAAAAGGTACTTTCAAAAAATATATATACCACATATCAGTGAAATCATATGGTATTTGCCTTTTTTCAGTCTGACTTCTTTCATTGAGCATAATACCCTCTCGGTCCAACCATGTTGTCACAAATGGCATGATCTCATCCTTTTCATGGCTGTATACTATTCCACTATGTACACATACCACATCTTTATCCATTTGTCTATCAATGAACACTTAGGTTACTTCCATATCCTGGCTACTGTAAATAATGCTGCAATAAGCATAAGAGTGCACATATTTTTTTGACAGTGTTTTTTATTTTCTTTGGGTAAATACCCAGTAGTGGAATTACTGGATATGTTATTACTATTTTTAATTTTTTGAGGAACCTCCACACTGTCTTCTATTGCAGTTGTACCAATTTACATTACCACTATCAGGGCACAAGGGTTCCTTTTTTCTCTATATCCTCACCAACACTTGTTATTTCTTGTCTTTTTGATTTTAGCCATTCTGACAGGTCTAAGGTGATAACACTTTGTGATTCTGATTTGCATTTCCCTGACGGTGATACTGAGCATCTTTTCATATATCTGGTTGGCCATCTGTATGTCTTCTTTAAAACAAATGTCTATTCGGGTCCTCTGTCCATTTTTTACTTGTATTGTTTTTTAGGTATCGAGTTATATAAGTCATATACATTTTAGAAATTAACCCCTTATCAGATATATCATTTGCAAATCTCTTCTCCCATTAAGTAGGTTGCCTTTTATTATGTTGATGATTTCCTTTATTGCAGGAAAGTTTATTTTGATGTAGTTCCAATAGCTTATTTTTGCTTTTGTTTCCCTTGTTTTTGGAGACAACTAGCTAGAAAAATGCTGCTAGGGCCAATGTCAGAAAAATTACTGCCTGTGTTCTCTTCTAGGGTTTTTATGGTTTCAGGTCTTACAATTAAGTCTTTAATCCATTTGAGTTTATTGTTGTGTATGGTGTAAGAAATTAGTCCAGTTTCATTCTTTTGCTTGTAGCTGTCCAGTTTCCCAGCACCGTTTCTGAAAAGACTGTATTTTTCCCATTGCACATTCTTGCCTAATTTGTCATAGATTAATTGACCCTAAAAGTGTGGGTTTATTTCTGGGTTCTCTATTCTGTTCCATCAATCTTTTGTGCCAGTACTATACTGTTTTGATTACTACAGCTTTGTAGTATACCTTGAAATCTGGGATTGTGACACTTCCGGCTTTGTTCTTCTTTCTCAAGACTGCTTTGGCTATTCAGGCTCTTTTGTGGCTCTATACATATTAGCATTTGTTCTAGTTCTGTAAAAAATGTTGTTGTTGGTATTTCGATAAGCATTCATTGACTCTGTAAAGTGCTTTGGGTGACATGGACATTTTAACAATATTAATTCTTCCAATCCATGATCATGGAATATCTATTTGTGTCATCTCCAACTTCTTTCATCAGTATTTCATAGTTTCCAGAATACAGGTCTTTCACCTCCTTGGTTAAGTTTACTCGTAGGTGTTTTATTCTTTTTGCTGCAATTATGAATGGGATTGTTTTCTCAATTTCTCTTTCTGCTGCTGTTATTAGTGTATAATAAGCCAGACTAAGAAAGACAAATACCATATGATTTCACTCATACAGGGAATCTAAAAAACAGAACAAATGAATACACACACACACACACACACACACAAAGCTAAGCCAGACCTAGAAATACAGAGAACAAACAGATGGTTGCCAGAGGAGACAGGGGTTGGGAAAATGGACAAAATGAGTGAAAAGGAGTGGAAGATACAGGTTTCCAGCTATGGAATAACTAAGTCACAGTAATAAAAAGCATAGCATAGGGAATATAGTCAATAATATTGTAATAACACCGTATGTGATAGATGGTACTAAAACTGTGGTGAGCCTAGCATAATCCATAAATCACTATAATGTACACTGAAACTAATGTAACATCATGCATCAACTATACTCAAATTTAAAAAAATTAAATATATATAAACATACCAAGGATATTTGGTATTTCATTCTGAAATAATCAGACTGGTTATTAAAAAGTACTATTCACTTTTGTAAATAAACAAGTTCTAGGGTTAAGTTGGAAATTTTTGTAAGGAGAAGAGCTATCTGGGTGTCACTTGCGTATCTCTGAAGGCCTCTCTAGGAGTCATAAACATCTTCCAGAAGTTATAATTCCCTTTGCTATCCTTATAGTAATAGACCTTAGTAGACCTTAGGGTCTATTACAGATGAGTATAAGAAACTAATTCTGTGTAAAGTTAAAAACAAAACTAACCATAAAAGGAGAAGCTGACAGAATAATAACACTTGGCAAATTAAAGGAACTACTTAGTGAAAAAAAATTATTTCTCACCTTTGTACATTCCACTTATACCAGGATGGAGACTGAACTCAGATCTAAGAGATGTGTCTTGATCAAAGAGCAACCTTTCAAATACCAAAACAGAAGATACAGATTATGTTTCCTAAACATAGACTAACAATTTAACCACAATTTTTTATTACATCTAAACTTGCTAAAATTCTTAGTTACACCACACTATTAATATCTATACCAAAATATTTTTTCAGATGTGTACCCTTTAATTAAAAATTTATATAAGATGAAATATAAAGACTTATTTATATGGTCAAGTTTATTTTTATAATACCATGTTATTTCTGAATACTTGGGAATAAGGAATGAATATCAATATAGTTTCTGCACAGAGATGAAATGAGATGATTTGAGGAAACAGTGCTGGTCGGTTTTCTCCTTCACATTTGTCTATACCACAGAGAATTTGAGATTAAAGTCCCAGGACTGAATCTGAGTGTATATTTTCAGAATACAAAATGATAGAATTCCTTCAGATTTTGGATTCACTTCTTTGTTCTAAGCAGCACCAAGGTAATAAAGAGAGAAGACACATAGTCCATGCCCTCAAGAAGTTTCAAATCCAGTGACAAATACAAAACTAAAAAACAGCAATGATACGCCATGGTGAGTATGCTAGTAGGCAGACTTAAGTGTTTATCTTTTCTGTTTAAAAAAAAAAACAAAAACACCCTACAGAATTCAAAAATAGGCAAAGGACTTGAAAAGAAATTTATCCAAAGAAAATGGCTAACAACAATGCAAAAAGATGCTCAACACTACTAAATATTAGGAAAATGCAAATCAAAACCACAGTGAGATACCATATCACATCCATTAGGTTATGATCAAAAACAAAAAACAAAAACAAAACAGAAAATAACAAGTGCATTGCTGGTGGGAATGTAAAATGGTACAACCACTGTGGAAAACAGTATGGTTGTTCATCAAAAAAGAGATCTTTAATCACCATTTGATCTAGTAATTCCATTTCTGGGTACACAAAGTAACTGAAAGCAGAGATTTGAAGATATTTGCACACTCCTGTTCAGAGAAGCATTACTCACAGGAGCCAAAAGGTGGAAGCAACCCAAGTGTTCAACAGAGAAGTGGATAAACAAAATGCAGTACATACATGAAATGGAGTATTATTCAGCCTTAAAAAGGAAGCTTGCCGAGTTGTGAAACACTCTACGGAGAACCCCATGTAGCAAGAAACCAAGAAACTGGAGGCCTCCAGTCAACCATCAGAGAGAACTGAATCTTAACAAGCACTATACAGGAAGTGAATCCTTCTCAAGACTAGAGGGGCGCCTGGGTGGCTCAGTCAGTTAAGCGTCTGCCTTCTGCTAAGGTCATGATCCTGGAGTCCTAAGCTCCGCATTGGACTCCCTGCTCAGTGAGGAGTCTGCTTCTCCCTCTGCCTTTCAGCCCACTTGGGCTCTCTCTCAAATAAATAAATAAAATCTGTAACAACAACAACAACAACAACAAAAAGACTAGAACTAGAGACGAATGCAGCCTTGTGAGTCTGTGAGCCTGATGACCCAGTTAAGCCACTCCTGAATTTCTGACCCACAGAAACTACAAGATAATAAATGTTTACTGTTATAAGTTGCTAAGTTTTGGACTAAGTTCTTCTACAGCAAAGGAAAACTAAACAGATTGTAACCACATTTCCCCAACTATTTGTTTTTAGTTGTTTTGTTCAAATTAAGATCCAAACAAGGTAGCCACATTGCTTTTGGTTGCTATATCTAAGTATCTTTTTAAATATATAAATTATCCACCCCCACTGCAATTTAATAGTTGAAGTAACTGGCCTGTTTTTTTCCTGCAATCTCCCACATTTTGAATTTTCTAACTGCATGTCATTTAACATGTTCCTCTATCCCATATACTTCCTATAAACTGGTTATTAGAGCTAGAAGTTTTATCTATCAAGTTAACTGGGGGTGGGAGGCATGTGTGTACTTCCTACAGGAAATAATAAAGTATGTATTGAGAAAGGTAGTCTTGTGCATAGTCTTTCAGCCCCCCCTTCAGCCTTGGGCCTAGAACACCTTCTTACCAAGATTTAGAGTCCTCCCAGCCTGTGCTGGACTTACTACCTTGAATGAGAATACCTTTCCCAGTTTCAGACTTGGTGTGTACTCCTTTGCTGTGAAAGTCTGTGTGTCATAGGTTACCTGGAAAACCCCACCAACATATATGTCCTCTGTTGGGACAAGATGAAGTCATTCTGTGGCACAAGAGGAGTGTGTACAGACCAATGGCCTGCATCAACTGCAGAGAGAGTGACTGCTAGCTGTGGGAGCCAATACCTCCTACTGAAGCTGATCTTGTTTTGTCTCTTCTCTATGTGAATAAAGTATTGTTCTAGCCTGCCACCACCTAGATCTTGGACTTCCAGCCTCCAGAACCATAAGAAAATGCATTTCTGTTGGTTAAGCCATCAGTCTGTGGTATTTTTATGGCAGCCTGAGCAAACTAATACACAACTAGTCTTCCCTAACTTCCCAAAATAAGATATCATATCATATTTAGATATCATATAATATTTAGAGTCCACAATACTAGTATTATCATTAACAGTATGATTACTGAAGTTACTTTGCAATTATTTATGTCCTTGGAGTATATCTTATCTGGCATGTATAGATTAATTCTATGTTTAAAAGGCACTTAGTTCCTTTTGGTGTAATTATGCCATCAAGTCAACATATAGATTCACCTGTTTAATCTTGCTTTTTTATTTTTGCTTTTTAGAAAGTTTTTCATGCTGGCTTAATTTTGTTTTATAATTATGTAAACCATAAATGTATAAGACAAGATCTATTTAGAGAAGTCTAGTCTTGTCTAGTCTTTTCGCCCATCTGTTCTCTCACTTCCCATTTTTTAAAATTGTATGGTTTATCCTTCCAATGTGTTTTTGAAAATATAAGCGATATGAGTATACATGCCATCACCCAGTCTTAGGTAAGCAGTAACATTCTATATATACCTCTTTACTTTTTTTTTCTTAACAATAAATCCAGTAGATTGATCAGTCTAGGGGAAAGAGACTTTCTTCATTCCTCTTTATTAATTCATAGTATACCACTGTGTGGATTCTCACACACTTTTTAAAAAATATTTATTCATCTAAGTAATCTCTATACCCAACATGGGGCTTGAACTCACAACCCTGAAATTAAGAGTCGCACTTCCAACTGAGCCAGCTAGGCACTCCTATTCTCAGTTTTAAAAGCTTTGTAAAAGATGATTGTGGAAGTTTAAAAAAAAAAAAAATGGGGAGAGAGTAAGAAAATTTACAGAACTACTTTGTTTTCCATTCCCAAACACAAATATATATCACATATATAATCTCACATTATGAAGAAAGAACAGGTTACTAAGAAAAATAACTCACCATTAACAACAACAAAACCCGTACCTCCTAATAGTTCTCAGCACCAGCAAAACTAATAATGAAAAGGAATCCAGTCCTTAATCTAACACACCCTTCTGTGAGAGTCAATGCTGGCTCCTGTTATAGGAGAAAAAGCATCTTTTTTGGCTCAATTACTACTGGCCATTACCAAGGATTGAAAATTTTATTATTCAAATATGGGTAATACCATTACTATAGCACATTTTTCTAAGAAGTAAAAATATCTAGGGATGCCTGGGTGGCTCAGTTGGTTTAGTGTCTTCCTTCGGCTCAGGTCACGATCCCAAGGTCCTGGGATGGAGTCCCACATCAGGCTTCTTGCTCGGCAGAGAGCCTGCTTCTCCTTCTGCTTGCAGCTCCCCCTATTTGTGCTCGTGCTCTCTCTCTCTCCCCCCTCTCTCTCTGACAAATAAATAAAATCTTAAAAAAAAGAAGTAAAAAAACCTATTCATCTTAATGCCCCTAAAAGTCAGAATTATTTTACTTTTTAAAATTTTTGAGAATTTTTTTCAATCTAAAAATAACACAGAGCGCCTGGGTGGCTCAGTCGTTAAGTGTCTGCCTTCGGCTCAAGTCATGGTCCCAGGGTCCTGGGATCGAGTCCCACATTGGGCTCCCTGCTCTGCGGGAAGCCTGCTTCTCCCTCTCCCACTCCCCCTGCTTGAGTTCCTGCTCTCGCTGTGTCTCTCTCTGTCAAATAAATAAATAAAAATAAAATCTTTAAAAAATAAAAAAATAAAAATAAAAATAAAAATAACACAAAAAAGGCAGAAAGGAATTGTGGATGCTAATGGGACTGTTCTATATCTTCATTGTCGTAATGGTTATTACACAACTGTATGTGTTTATCAAAACACACAGAACTGTACATTAAAAAGAATGAATTTTGCATCTTAATAAAAAAGTGAAAAAAGTAACACGATGATGTTAATTTTCCATTAAGTAAATTTATAAATTTAACTTTATACCAATAAAAGTACCAAGACTTTTTATTGAACTAGACAACTGATTCCAAAGTTCATGTGGTAAAATAAATAAGGACAGCCAGGAAAATGTTTTAAAATAACAGTAAGGAGGTAATAACCTACAGGACATTAAAATATTTTTAGATATAAAATGTTTTTAAAATGTGAAGCTAGCACATAAAATGACAGACCAATGAACAGAATAAAATCTCCTAAATAAACTCACATACATATAAGAATTTAGTATATTAAAAAGGTGGCATCTCAAATCAGAGAAAAAGATAGGATTTTTTAAAAAGAAATATTGGGACAATGAAGGAGACATCTGGAAAATAATTTAGTTGGATCCATACTTGACACTGTACTCCAGAAAAATCCCACATGAATCAAAATGTAAATTTTTTTTGAATTTTTTTTTTTTTTTAATTTGACAGAGAGACAGACAGCGAGAGAGGGAACACAAGCAGGGGGAGTGGGAGAGGGAGAGGGAGAAGCAGGCTTCCTGCCGAGCAGGGAGCCCGATGTGGGGCTTGATCCCAAGACCCTGGGTTCATGACCTGAGCCAAAGGCAGACGCTTAACGACTGAGCCACCCAGGCGTCCCTCAAAACGTAAATGTTTAAAATGAAACAAAAAGTATAAAAGAAACCAAGGAGGGATTCTTTTATCATTGGGCAGGAAAAAAAGCCTAATTATGAGATAAACCCAAATAATTCAATTATTAAGATTACAAACTTCCCAAGTTTGCTAAAAGACCAATTTATATATTCAATAAGCTCAGTGAAACCCAAACAGGAAAAACACACAAAAAATCATGCCCAGACACACTGTCATCAAACTTCTGAGAACCAAAGATGGGGGAAAACTGAAATCAGACATAAAAAAAAACATGACACATTCTACATATAAGAATAGTGATTTAAATGGGTGAGAGGACTTAACTACAAAGGGGCAGTACAAGGGAGGTTTTTTTGGAATGACGGAACTATTCTGGATCTTGACTGTGATGGTTGTTATAAGACTCACTGTATTAGTCGAAATGCTGCCTGTACAGCAAGAGCAAATATTACTGGGTGTATATATAAATGAGCCAAAAACCTGGGTATCATCGTCTCTGCTCTAAATAATTCCAACTTTAACCTGGAATCTTGCAAGAAATGCAGGATTTCAGATCCCACCCCAGAACTCCTGAATTGGATTCCCCATTTTAATGGGATTCTGGAGTGATATTTATAAGGATATTAAATTTATTTAAAGATTTTATTTATTTATTTGACAGAGAGAGAATATAAGCAGGGGGAGCAGAATTGGCGAGGGAGAAGCAGGCTCCCCACTGAGTGGGGAGCCTGATGAGGGGCTCAATCCCAGAACCCTGGGATCATGACCTGAGCCACCCAGGCGCCCCAAGGGTATTAAAATTTGAAAAGCCCTGCTCTAGGGTATGCTCAAGTGAACAAAAATCTGATTATGCTTCTCCTCCACTTAACATTTTACAAAAGACACACGCAGGATATATGAGGCCTTACATGACCTCACCCTACCTTCCTCTCCAGGGGGACTCATCTTTTACCACTGCCCACCTCACCACTTAACACTTCACTTGAGTAAGAATTAACTATTTGTACATTCCAGCACACAACACAATGCTCTGTCCCCTTTACCCACGCATTTCCCTCAGCCTAGAACACCTCTTCTTCATCTGCCTAATTCTTAAACCACCTTCAAGCTTCTATTCAGAAGTCAACCGTACCAATCTTTAAGGACTACCTGGGCTCTTAAACCAGGCAAAGCATACTTCCATCACTGGACTATCGCCCTTTATTGAAATTATCTGTCTATAAAAAAAAGAAAGAAAGAAATTATCTGTTTATGTGTCCTCCCTGGCCTGTAGGTTTCTCAAAGGCAGTGGACTCATCTCTTCTATAGTTCCCCTGGATCTAGCAAGAGAACTAGCTATGTTCAAGGTTTTGATGAACTGAACTACCATCTTTTTTCGATTCTTATAAAACTATTCGTTTCCAATTTAGTAGTAAACGGTTCCCCCATCACACATTCTTTTCCTAAAATTATGTTAACCATCTCCTAGATCAGAGCTTCCGATTGCTTAAAGCAAAATGCATTTCAGAAATCTAGACCCAACACTTTTTTTTGCCTGTACAAAAGGACTTAGCCTAAGGCTAAAAGGAAGGGTTTTTTTTTTTTGTTTGTTTGTTTGTTTTAGATGCCATAAAGCCATCTACCATAAAGCTCATTTTGTCCTAAATTGGAGGCTGGGGGGATTGTGTTTCGTTTATTTACAAGTTCTTAGCTCAGGCCTGGCTACCTCACAAGACTCGAATTCCGCCTGCCATTACACATTCATCTGGTAATAATTTCTACTCAGTCTACAAGGGCCACTCCACCTCCAGTACCCAGCACAATGGCGGGCGCCTTGTCCAAGGCCTGGCGCTAACGTTGGTCACCTTCTCCAGGGCAGCTCCTCGTCATCCAGGTCGCTCTCCGTCACTGACCCGTCTATCACAGTTTCATCACTGTCCCAGTCTGGGGCCTGGGCGCCTTCCTCCATCTTCGCCTCACGCCCGGAGCCTTGTTTATTCTCCTTCTCCAACGCCCCGCTTCCTGCGAAAAGAAAAGGCACGCTGAGGGTCGGGGGTAACTGTGAGTGAAATATGAAATCCGAGGCGAGACGCGGGAGACTAGCCTGGAACACAGTAGCAGCGACGGTCGTCGTCGGGGACGCGGTCCCGCTCGGCCCCCTCGCCGCACGCCGCCGGCAGGGGGAGCTGCGAGCCGCACGTCGCAGCCGCGTGCGGCCCCGCCCCCCGACGCTGGTGGCCGGAAGTGCCTGGCGGAGCGCCCGCCGGCTCTGGCTTTCCCGGCCGCCTGGGGCGTGGCGCCCCCCGCCGCATCCGCTTTCTGTGCTTTCTTACCTATTCATTCGCTGGGCGGAGTGACTGGGGTTGCGGTCGTGGGGACCAGAAAGGCAGCGCTGTCACAGACAAGACCGCAGTCCGAGCCTGCCTAACGCCACCGGCAGGAGGGAGACTTAGGTCACCTTACCTGCAGTGCGCCTCGTACTTGTGAGACCCAGACCTGGAAAGAACTGTCAGCTCCTGCCCGATCCGGTAGCCCCCGCTATCCGTCTGACGTTCTCAAAACAGAATGTTACCTTACATGGGAAGAGTGTTTGTTGCAGTCCACCAAGTGCTGCCTTTCTCCTTAATTCCTTTAACACCCCTTCCTTGAGTGTCCTTTGAGGTAGGCAAGACAAACATGTTTATCCTAAGTTTATAGGTCATCAACCCATCTAACTGATGTATTTTGTATTTGTATTTTTCCCTCATTAACTCTTTAATTGCCTTGAAATACAGGTTGTGTAGAAAGAGGAGAATAAATGCTTTATTTTTTCTATATAAATTTTTAGAATGATAGTGTCTAGCAACTTCCAAGAATAGCCAATTACGAGTTTTGAATGAAGTACTAGATTTTTATATATTTGAACATTCAAAACAAAACCAAGTGACTCCATTTGCCAAGAGAGGTAGATTAAGGATGAGAACTCCTTCCATCAAGTGTTTAGTATTCACTTTGAAATCTCCAGCATCTAGCACATATTGGATCTTTAAAGATTTGTTGAATAAATGGATGGAACTAGGGTTTTCTGACTCCCCAATTCACTGCTCTTTTCTTTACATGCAATGGCTTTTCCATTCTTATCTTACAGAACAGGACCTCTCCGTGTTTTTACACCTCTCCACCTACATCCTCCATGTTTAAATCAATCCTAAATCCCCATCCACTCTCCTGCTCACCCACTCCTTTGATCATCTAACTCTGTTAATTGCCAGCAATGGAAAGTGCATATCCATTAAAAGGCTGGTGGGTGGCTCTAAATGCCCTATGCCAGAAGGTGACTTTGCACTAATAAAAGACTTGCTCCAGGCGTCTGGTAACTCCCTAAGTATAGAAAACTCCTGAGTCTGAAATTCAGATTCCTTTTTAAAATACTTTCTCCTTTGGTGGGTAAGAGTCAGTTATTTTTGCATCTTCAGTTCTTTTATATTGTTCAAGACAGTTGCCAAGATTCAAAGCATAAAGAAGAAATAGCAAAGATGATCCACATAAATGCCAGAATGATTTTAAAGGAAACTTTTTTTTGTTTTTATAAAATCCAAAGTTTCACGGCAGGACAGAGATAGAAGAATGACCGATCTGTGTTAGAAATCTACGGTGCAAATGACAAAAAAAATACAATTCAAACTGATTTAAGCAGATAAAAAGGGTGAGCTGGGTCATGTAACTGAACCATCCATAAGTACCCAGGTTGAGAGGAAATTTAGCTCAGCTTTCTTCTGAATTCATTAGTTTGAGTTAAACACTCAAATAAATTGAAACACATCAAATGTAGAAAAATCCAGAATCCTTGAGGAAAACACAGGCTCATCGACCTCAGCCGCAGCAACTTCTTCCTAGAAACATCGCCAAAGGCAAGGGAAGCAAGGGCAAAAATGAACCATTGGGACTTCATCAAGATAAAAATCCAGAACTTCATTTTAAAATAATAATTGGTAATTTAGAAGGTTGATAGGTATCATTTTATTATTTTAAAAATTAATAAAGGGGAGGAAATAAAGCATTTATCCTGATGTTTCTATACAATCAGTATTTCAAGGTGACCAAATTGTTGATTAGGGAAAATTTTCCTTATAGAGAAATCACAGCTAATAAATACACGAGATACAATAGAATTAGAAAATCATTTTGCAACCCATGAAACAATGGATCTAGGCAATGGTCAGCAATAGCTGCAATAGTTAGGCAGAAGAGTAAAAAAAAAAAAAAAGTAAAGTAAATAACTAGACCTTTGTTTTTTCACACCTGCACACCTACATCTTCCAAGTTTAAATCATTCCTAAATTCCTAGGTAAAAGGCTGATGGAGAATTTTACAGTAGACAAGTCAGGATGACAACACTTAAAACCAATAATAATCTTAACATCACTAAAAGTCGACAACCAAATATGTACCTCCTGGCACAACACTATATGAATAAATGGCACTTACCTGTGAAGCAGTCCAAAAAAAAAAAAAAGTTAAAAACCTGAATCTAATCAAGACTCTAGATCTGTCAGTTATTTATATGCAGGAAGAGGGGGCAGAGGAATAGACGGACACCATGAAGATGAAATTTACTAAACCTAGGATATGGGTAATTCTATAGAACAAATGACCTGGTTTCTTTCAACAATTAAATATCATGGGATTTTAAAAAAGGGAATGAGAACTCTTTTACATTTAAAGAGATCCTAAGAGGGGCGCCAGAGTGGCTCAGTCGTTAAGCGTCTGCCTTTGGCTCAGGTCGTGATCCCAGGGTCCAGGAATCAAGCCTGGCGTCAGGCCCTCCGCTCAGCGGGAAGCCTGCTTCTCCCTCTCTCACTCCCCTGCTTGTGTTCCCTCTCTCTGTCAAAATAAATAAATAAAATCTTTAAAAAAAAAGAGAGACCCTAAGAAAAGGGGAAAAAATCAAGTAGTTAAAAAGGAAAATTGATTGTTAATATAAATACTAATACAGAGTGAATTAACAAAAAAAAAAGAAAAAAACTTGAGAAGAGCATTATATCCTTTTTAAACCAACAAATATTTGTAAAAAATTAAATAATACAAGGTAGAATAAAATTAAATTTGATTATAGTAAAATTTAAATCTTTGAAGATTCTTGAAACCAATTAATCCTTAAGAACTATAATCAAATTTTATAGCTTGATTCCATTTAGGCTATAAGTCTTTAAATAAAAAGTCCTATATGGGAATTCTTTACTTGTTTTAAAGGTGAATTAAAAGGAGAATGTCACCTCTACCACGTCAAATTTGCATTAGGAAGAAAAATTCCAAAATCATATCCAATAGCATGTATGCTAACCCACAAATGCTGGTGAGGGTCAGTGCCCTGAAGGAGGGCTGAGAATAAGGGCCTTTCCCTTATTGGCCTAGCCTTCTTATGGATGAAGCAGACAATAAAAAAGTACATGAATGAATGAGATAATCCAGAGAGTGATGCATGCCTGAAAGAAATAAATAGGTTGCTGAGATAGAGAATATGATTAGAGATAGCCTCTCTGAGG